GTGTGGGCGAGGTCTCCGCCAAGGAGACACGGGGCCAGAGGTTGAGCTGCTGTGCGGCGTACCGGACCGCAAACGGCCACTGAAAATGGGGAGCCGCCGCATGAATCAAGAAGGTGCGAGCGATCTCCATGACCAAGCCATTGCAGCGCTCAGCAACCCCATTCTGCTGCAGTGAGCCCGGAAGCGTGAAAGACTGGAGGATGCCCTTTCCCCCGACAGAAGGCCCGCAAGAGGTCGGAGGAGAACTCACCACCTCTGTCAGAGTGCAGACGCAGGATAGAGAGGTCCTGGCGGAACTTGCGGCGGAGCTGGAGACGAACTGTGTGGATCCAAGGGATCAGGACAGTAGGGACCTCACCCTTGGTGCGCAAGGGGAAGACCGTGGTGTACTGCGAGTAGTCGTCGACAACCAGCAGAAAGTACCGCTCGCCGCCCAGGCCACGAACGCGGGCTGGGCCCCACACGTCCAGGTGGAGGGTCTGCAGGGGAACCTCTGTCAGGGGAAACGAGGAGTGAGGAGCGGCCCACTGCCGCCCCTCGACACAAGGAAGGCAGGACGGCGTAGGGGAGGTAGGGAGGGGAGGGAGAGACCTGGGAAGACCGGACACAAGGAGGCGACGGTGCATGCCACGTAGACGTGGCAAGGAGGGGTGACCCAAAAATGGTGCTAGAGAAGAGTCTGGTGTGATAGGGAGCGACACTCACAAGGGGAGGCTACCTGACCTGACGTAGACACCTGACCTGTAGCAGCTACCTGAGGAGGCGGATTTGTTAATGTGTAAAGACTCGACCTGGCCGACGGGTAAACGTGGCTAGGTGGCGGCCAGTCCGAGAGCACGTACAGATCACCACACACTGTCCTCCAGGGTTAAAGGTGTCAACCCACTGGTCCTAGAGAACTGTGGTGCTCACCAAGTTCGTAAAGAACGAGGGGAGGTGGATGCCTGACAGTGAGCCTAACGGAACCGCCGGGCACGGGAGCACAGTGGTGGACCGTGCAAGAACTGGACCCCCTGAGGGGTCAGCCAGAGACACTGCAACAGGTGCAGGGAGTGGTGTGAGTGCAGTACTGTCGCGAAAGAAACAGCGGGAAGCACCTGAGTCAAGCATGAAGGTGTGCAAGGCATCAGTAGGCGCAGTACTTGAGTGAGCAGACTCTCTAGCACCTAAGGCCAGCCTCACTAGCACCTAGAGCAGTAACATCTATACCGGGGTCGTGCTGCACACACAGGTAAGAGTCACCCTCAGCACCACTAGGCAAAGCATACATGGCAGTAAGTATGGCGTCATAGTCTAAAGCAAAGACATCACTGCACGACCTAAGCAGCTCAAGCCAGTGGGGAATCTCAGCCTCGTCTCCAAACTCTGTGTGCCAGACGTCACTCAAATAGGCGAAGCTGCGGGACTGTGCGTGACTAGTTGTCCCACAGATCTGACCAGCTCGACGACCTGCGCGAATGACGTACAAGCAGCGACCAGGACTCGGAGACGTCCCACGCTGGTAAAGCCACTCACAAAGCTGCCAGGGCATAAGGGTCGGACGCCGCTGTAACTGCATGTAGCTACTGCCAGAAACTCCGCACTGAACAATGCCACAGTGACTGCTACTACGGTCGCCACCACTTCCACTGCTGCCACCACCGCCAGCACCACTCCCACTGCTGCTGCGAAGTGAAGTCATGGCGGGCAAGCTAGGAGGAGCACGACCTCTAGGGCAGTACGGAGTGAAGGCAGTAGCACGAGTAGCAGCAGCAGTAGTAAGAGCAGCAGAGCGGCTCGACGAGGCTAGGTTGCAGCACCTTCAGCTCTCCTAGCAGCACCTCCACCAGCAGCAGCAGTAGCACAAGCAGCAGGGCGGATCGGGTCAGGTAGGGCGGCTCGGCTCGGCCTGGGCGGCGCGGACAGCGGGGCGCATGCTGTGCAGGGCAGCAGGGCGCGACGCGCGGGCCGCAGCAGGGCGCGACGCGCGGGGCAGCAGAGCACGACGCACGGGCTGCCGTAGGGCGCGACGTGCAGGGCGGCAGGGCGCGACGCGCGGGCTGCAGCAGAACGTGACATGCGGGCTGCTATAGGGCGCGACACGCAGGGCAGCAAAGCGCGACGTGCGGGCTGCAGCAGAGCGCGACGCGCGGGGTAGCAGAGCGCGACGTGCGGGCTGCCGTAGGGCGCGACGCGCAGGGCAGCAGGGCGTGACGGGCGGACTGCAGCAGGGCGCGACGCAGGGCAGGGCAGGGCGTGCGCGGGGCAGCGCGACGCGGGGCAGGGAAGGGCGTGCGCGGGGCAGCGCGACGCGGGGCAGGGCAGGGCAGGGCGTGCGCGGGCAGCGCGATGCAAAGTAGTGGGGTAACGTGGTAACCGCAGTCGGTCGCTAAGTATGGTGGGCCCGGAAAAAATAACGGTCCCACGGACGTGCTGCTCTTAATACCATGTCAAGATTAGAAGCTAGATGACTGCATTGAAAGGATTGTGGGTACAAGTACTAACCCTAACAATGGGTTGTAACCCTATACAGGCTACCCCACTATAGCCTACACGGAACTAGCACATACATAATTTGACATGGCCGGCTGCTAGGAGGGTGCTGCGTTACTTGTGCAGTACATCGGATATGGAGCTCGTGCTTGGAGGACGGGGTCCAGTTGTACTCACTAGACACTAAGACACTTCTTGGGCAGCCGACCAAGCCACTCAGCGGTCGTCATAGGGTTAGACCTTCAGCCTAGGCTCCAGTTCAGTTTCTTGGAGGTCTACCCGCTCCTCTTCTGTTCTCAACTCTAGTTGTGAGGATGAGATCTACGCGGGGGCCATGGCTGCACAGGAGTTACGCTGGCTTACCTACCTGCTTACCAACTTGGGAGAGCGGCCTCGTTCTCCTCCAGTTCTGTACGTCGACAACAAGGCCATGATTGCCTTGTGTCAGAAGCAGAGACTGGAGCACAGAATGAAGCATGTCGCCCTGCGTTACTTTCTTGCCCGAGAGTTGCATCAGCGTGGTTAGCTTTGCCTTGCTTTCGTGGCCTCACGGGCCTACAATGCTGCTATTTTCACCAAGGCACTTGTGTCTGGTGATCATCAGCACTTCTGCACTGCTCTAGGCCTTGTGCCTACTCTGTCTCACTAGCTTACCGCTTACCTTTGCCTTGTACTGTGATTTATATATCTATATCTGTGAGTGATCACTGTACTAAAATCAGACAAATCAGCCATTTTATGCCAATCTACACTAAAGATCTAGTTAAATAATGTTTCTTTTCAACAAATTGCTGGAAAATCAGCCTCTATTCTAAAAAAATTATGAAATCTCAGCCTTTTTTTACCTAAATCAGCCTTTTTTCACTGACTTCTGAGGCCCTGGAGCCAAGCCAACCTGAGCGACGTTCGGTTTTGTTTTGCGATTGTGCACAAAAGTTATTGAGGAGAGTGTGTCGCTAGGCATTGTCCCAGAATCGCGAAAGTTCCCTCAAACAAAGTAGGGTAACCTTGTTATTGACGATTTCAAGTTCAAGAATCTTGAACTTGAAAAAAACCATGCTCAGGCCCTCAGATTGGTTTGAGGGTATGCTGATGGATCAGCGTGCCCCGGTCGCCTAGGTGTCCAAATCAGCGTTCATGGTTTTCTTTATACTGATTTTGCCAGTGTAAAAGTTATAAGTAAACTGAACCATCAGTGTACAAAAGAAATACAAAGTTGAATTTCCCATTCAAAATTTGTCGCTGTGAGAGCTCCTTCCAGCGATGCAGAACACGTCGGCGCGCGATCTGTACAGCGCATGCATCGTTAAGAGCGTGTTCCTACGGCCTCATATCAGGCAACCTCGTATCAGATTCGCGTCGAAACGCACTAAAACGCATCCAACCACAGTTGAACACACTGAAACATTATTTAACCACGCGAAGCTGATACGAGATGTGTCTGATACGAGGTGTAGGAACACGCCCTAAGTGTGTGAGTGAGGTCTCGCGAATCCCGGGCCAGGTACAGCCTAGTGGGGTCTCGTGAATCCCGGGCCAGGTACAGACTGTACACACGCGTACCACCCCGAATCGGTCTAGTCCGTTTCAGTGTGACTCACGACACTACACTGATTCGTCAGTGTTACTTGTACAGCAACACGGAAAATGGCCAGAGTGGCAAGGTATGTTATACTGAAATTTCAGTGCAAATTTGAAGCATATGCTGAATTTTCAGGGAAAACGAAAATCTGAGCTACAAAATCAGTGTAATCAGCGTGTTTTACGCTGATATCTGAGGGCCTGGTCCATGCTGCACTCGGGCTTTAGATACTAGCAAGAGCCGTGCGTGATTGTCTTGCTACAGATGCTCGCTCATTGCTTGCACACATTGTACTCATTCCTCCCTTTTAGTGCAATCCTCGCTCGGCTCCTCAAATGCATTCGTAACATGTGGCAATTACGGTACCTGGTTAATCATTGCATAGTCAATTTTTTTCCCGGTTCTCAAGTTACGATACTTCACTGGTTCTCAAAGTTGATTGAACAGAAGGCACGCGAATCTGATGCTTCAGACAAAAGCATGACCGTATGTCTCATGTCATGTTCCATCACAATGTATGTGAGCGACTCTGAAAAACAGTAAACCATGTTTGTCATGACAGGTGGAGTGGGTTTGCGTAACAGAAAACCATATAGATAGAGTCCGCAATGGAGTGGCGTGGCGAAATAGGTCACTGATGGATGAAACCACCAACCTGCGGAAAGCAGAGGAAAATGGGGGTTTGGTTTGGTACAGACCACAAGCAGCTTACAAGAAAGGGGTCAAGAGAAAAAATTCACAAAATGGAGGGAGAGAGTAGGGGGACATGGCTGAGAGAGTGTGTGTGAAGGGAGATAGAGAGAGAGAAAGAGGAGAGGATGAGGGATAGAGAGAGAGAGAGAGAGAGAGAGAGAGAGAGAGAGAGAGAGAGAGAGAGAGAGAGAGAGAGAGAGAGAGAGAGAGAGAGAGAGAGAGAGGTGCCCCTGTAATGCTGCCATGTACTGACCATGACTCCACGCTGTGTGATTCGGTTTCTTGCAATGAAGTGCAGCACGCTGGAAGAGAACTCCAAGCTCTCGTCCTCCTGCACATGCGCGCGCACCCACAGCAGCACCACAGCTTGTGTTGGGTCACAGAGCACAGAAGCAACAAGGGGAAGAAAGCCTCACCTGCATGGCGCCTCACCTGGATGGCGCCTCACCTCACCTGGATGGCGCCTGACCTGGATGGCGCCTGACCTGGATGGCGCCTGACCTGGATGGCGCCTGACCTGGATGGCGCCTGACCTGGATGGCGTGGCCTGAGTGGCGGACAAGGAGCATTTGGAAGCGGCCCTGCATCTGAGCGATGGTCAGCGGCCTGCCATGGTTGCTCGCCGTGCACCACATGTGGAGTGAGGGAGGGCGACAAGGGAGTGAGGCAGGAGGGGGGAGCAGGGAGTGAGGCAGGAGTGGGGACAAAAAGGAAAAAATGCAGAGGGCGGTCAACACTGTGGAGCAAGAGGCAACACCGTCTTGCCTAACCACCTGGACTCCCTTGACTCCCTTGACTCCCCTGACGCCATGCCCTGATGCCATGAGAGCGCGGCTCACTTGTCGAGGCGGTCGGTGCCGGCGAGCAGCAGCAGCTTGGGCACGGGGCAGCGCAGAAAGAGGTCCGACAGACCCGTGTACCTGCAGGGCACATGCACGCACACACATGCATGCACACGTGCAGTGCACACATGCACATGCATACGCACACATGCACACACACACATGCACATCCCATGTGCACATGGATACGCACACAAGCACATGCACGCATGCACGGGCACACGCACATGGACATGCACACGTGCACGCACATGGTTGAATGCACTTGCACACATGCATATGGTTCACACAGCAGCGCACACTTGTGGTTGCTGGAAGATACTGCGACGAGAAGGGCGGGTGAGAGATGGCATCCAATCCAGCCATGCCGCACTCTGCTTTCTCTTCACAACCAGCACTTACAAACCAATCCCTCGCCCCAAAACAGCTTCAGCAGATTTTTCCCATCCCAAGCATGCATATCGACATCCCAAGCATGCATATCGACATCCCAAGCATCCCACTTTGCGAGCAGTGCGGAATGCATGCTCAGCAAGCAGCAAGAACACAGCATGCACGCATGTGTGTGCACGCATGTGTGTGCACGTATGTGTGTGCACGTATGTGTGTGCACGTATGTGTGTGCACGTATGTGTGTGCACGTATGTGTGTGCACGTATGTGTGTGCACGCATGTGTGTGCACGTATGTGTGTGCACGTATGTGTGTGCACGTATGTGTGTGCACGTATGTGTGTGCACGTATGTGTGTGCACGTATGTGTGTGCACGTATGTGTGTGCACGTATGTGTGTGCACGCATGTGTGTGCACGTATGTGTGTGCACGCATGTGTGTGCACGTATGTGTGTGCACGCATGTGTGTGCACGCATGTGTGTGCACGTATGTGTGTGCACGTATGTGTGTGCACGTATGTGTGTGCACGCATGTGTGTGCACGTATGTGTGTGCACGCATGTGTGTGCACGTATGTGTGTGCACGCATGTGTGTGCACGCATGTGTGTGCACGCATGTGTGCACGTATGTGTGTGCACGCATGCACGCACCATCCCTTCCAGTAGGGCTGAGATTTCTCCAGCGGGGTGCGCCACACAAACCTGCAGGTAGAGGAAAGGGTGTGAGAGAGGGAATGGGTGAGAGAGTGGGAATGGAAGAGAGGGAGGAGAAGGGACAATAGAACAGAGACATTCAAGGGGTTGAGAACGGTATGGAACGCAACTTACCGTGCCTCCCCAAGCCTCCCCATGCCTCACCCATGCTCCCCTCCCCCTCATGCCTCCCTATATCGCACCCATGCTTCCTCACGCATCTGTCTTTCCCCTGCTGTGTGCTGCTCGACCCTTCCTGTCTGTTCGCTTCTCACCCCTTCCCTGCGGCGTCTGGCACGAGGGTGGGTGGCACCGAGACACGCGCCGACTCAACGCTCCTCAGATGCCCCGACCGCACACTCCACTCCACCTGCGGCGCAACACAGAGTGGGCGAGGAGAATGAAACATGTGGCAGAGTACAGACGCTAGGAGGGATAGGCAGGGTACGGAGAGGAGTAAAGGGAGAATGAGAATGACAGAAAGGAGAGAGGGGGAGGAAGAAGTGCAGGGGAAGAAATTATTCCATACAACAGCAAAGAGGAAAGCACGGACATGGGGAAGTGGACATGCGACGATCAAAAGCGCATGCACTGCATGGTGCTCACTGCATGGTGCTCACTGCATGGTGCTCACTCACGGCTTTGTGGAGCGATGGGAAGTGTGAGGGGCGTGACGCCAGCACTGCGTGCATGTGGCCCAGCGATGCCACGGCGCTGCCCTGCCGTGCCGTGTCCCATGTAGGGCGGGCGCAGGACAAGGGGGCGGACGAGCAAGAGGTGGTAGAGGACGGGGGTAGAGGGTGGTGAAAGGGGTAGAGGGTGGTGAAAGGGGTAGAGGGTGGTGAAAGGGGGTAGAGGGTGGTGAAAGGGGTAGAGGGTTGTGAAGGGGGGTGGAGGGTGTTGAAGGGGGGTGGAGGGTGTTGAAGGGGGGTGGAGGGTGTTGAAGGGGGGTGGAGGGTGTTGAAGGGGGGTGGAGGGTGTTGAAGGGGGGTGGAGGGTGTTGAAGGGGGGTGGAGGGTGTTGAAGGGGGGTGGAGGGTGTTGAAGGGGCGCACACTCGCTGACTTGACACACTGGCATCAAGCAGCATGGCGAAGCGCAAACCTGTGAGCCCATGAGCCAGTAGGCCTGACATGATGAATCGAGAAGGCAGTTCGGCAGTGTGAGGCAGTGAGGCAGGGACGCAGGGGGGCAGGGAGGCAGTGATGCCATGGGGCAGTGTAAGGCAGGGAGGCGGCAGGGAGGAGGCAGAAGGAGGCAGGTGGGGGCAGGGAGGAGGCAGGTGGGGGCAGGGAGGAGGCAGGTGGGGGCAGGGAGGCAGGGAGGAGGCAGAGAGGGAGGCAGAGAGGGAGGCAGAGAGGGAGGCAGAGAGGGAGGCAGAGAGGGAGGCAGAGAGGGAGGCAGAGAGGGACGCACCTCGACGACGTCGACGACGACGAGGCCTGCCAGCGATGGCAGCAGCTGCTGCTCCGCCACGCGCACTGCCACCGCCCCCCCCATGCTGCCATGCCATGCACCCCGCGCCATGTGCCATGCCCCGCCCGCACATGCAAGGGAGGGCGAGGGGGACACAGAGCAGAGCAGATGAATGAAGCGGGGAAGGAGGAGTGGAAGAATAAAATTAGAGGTGCCTGCCCTCTCCCGCCCGCTCACCCTGTGACCCAGCAGCACCATGCCTGCCCTCTCACCTGTGACCCAGCAGCACCATGCCTGCCCTCTCACCTGTGACCCAGCAGCACCATGCCTGCCCTCTCACCTGTGACCCAGCAGCACCATGCCTGCCCTCTCACCTGTGACCCAGCAGCACCATGCCTGCCCTCTCACCTGTGACCCAGCAGCACCATGCCTGCCCTCTCACCTGTGACCCAGCAGCACCATGCCTGCCCTCTCACCTGTGACCCAGCAGCACCATGCCTGCCCTCTCACCTGTGACCCAGCAGCACCATGCCTGCCCTCTCACCTGTGACCCAGCAGCACCATGCCTGCCCTCTCACCTGTGACCCAGCAGCACCATGCCTGCCCTCTCACCTGTGACCCAGCAGCACCATGCCTGCCCTCTCACCTGTGACCCAGCAGCACCATGCCTGCCCTCTCACCTGTGACCCAGCAGCACCATGCCTGCCCTCTCACCTGTGACCCAGCAGCACCATGCCTGCCCTCTCACCTGTGACCCAGCAGCACCATGCCTGCCCTCTCACCTGTGACCCAGCAGCACCATGCCTGCCCTCTCACCTGTGACCCAGCAGCACCATGCCTGCCCTCTCACCTGTGACCCAGCAGCACCATGCCTGCCCTCTCACCTGTGACCCAGCAGCACCATGCCTGCCCTCTCACCTGTGACCCAGCAGCACCATGCCTGCCCTCTCACCTGTGACCCAGCAGCACCATGCCTGCCCTCTCACCTGTGACCCAGCAGCACCATGCCTGCCCTCTCACCTGTGACCCAGCAGCACCATGCCTGCCCTCTCACCTGTGACCCAGCAGCACCATGCCTGCCCTCTCACCTGTGACCCAGCAGCACCATGCCTGCCCTCTCACCTGTGACCCAGCAGCACCATGCCTGCCCTCTCACCTGTGACCCAGCAGCACCATGCCTGCCCTCTCACCTGTGACCCAGCAGCACCATGCCTGCCCTCTCACCTGTGACCCAGCAGCACCATGCCTGCCCTCTCACCTGTGACCCAGCAGCACCATGCCTGCCCTCTCACCTGTGACCCAGCAGCACCATGCCTGCCCTCTCACCTGTGACCCAGCAGCACCATGCCTGCCCTCTCACCTGTGACCCAGCAGCACGATGGCGGGAGGTGAGTCGCCAAAGAGCTTCCTTGCCACGCCTGCCACATCCTCCACCAGCGTCTGCCATGGCATGGTGGGGCCATGCATGCACGCACATGCACACACGCACATGCACACACGCACATGCACACACGCACATGCACACACGCACATGCACACACGCACATGCACACACGCACATGCACACACGCACATGCACACACGCACATGCACACACGCACATGCACACACGCACATGCACATACGCACATGCACACACGCACATGCACACACGCACATGCACACACGCACATGCACGCACGCACATGCACGCACGCACATGCAAGAACGCACATGCACACACAAACCGATGCAAACAAGCACATAGCACAGAGCATAGAGCACACAGAGCACTGAGCAGAGAGCAAAGCACACATGGCTGGCAGGCAGCGACATGCACGTGAGCATGATACCTGGGCGGAGAGGCACCTGGGCGGAGAGAGAGGCACCTGGGCGGAGAGGAAACCTGGGTGGAGAGGAAACCTGGGCGGAGAGGAAACCTGGGCGGAGAGGAAACCTGGGCGGAGAGGAAACCTGGGCGGAGAGGTCGAGGTCGTTGGCGGTGCGTGTGGCGCCGTGGCCACGCATATCCACGGCCACCACCTGCACCTCGCCCCTCATGTGCCCCGCCGCCACTGCAAACGATGCCCTGCCCCCGCTCATGCACAAGCACCCCCTCCACCCCATCCACCCCGCACATCATGGCGGGCAAGAGAAGGAGCGCATGCAAGGTGTGAGATGAGATGGGGGGGCGTGCTGTGCTGTGCTGAGCAGAGCTGAGCAAGCACGAGCAGCGTGCTGACCTCGGAAGTGGGCTCGGGCACGTGCTTGCGCAATGAGTGAGTAAAGCTTTAACGAGGCGGCAGTGTGCTTGTAACGGGGAAGGGGGCGGTTGAGGCGTGGGTGTGGGGTCACCCACCCGGCATAGCCGCCCCCATGCAGGCACAGCAGCACGGGCCCTGTGCGCCCCGCCCTGTACACGTGGAACACCTGGCCCCACAGGCAAACGGGGGAGTGGGTGGAAAAAGAGGGGAGATCAGGAGAGGGGCGGGAGAGCGATGCGTGAGCAGGTGGAAAGGCATAAGGCACTAGCAGAGGAGGGTCGGGCGGAGGAGGAGCGGGCAGAGGAGGAGAGGGCAGAGGAGGAGAGGGCAGAGGAGGAGAGGGCAGAGGAGGAGAGGGCAGAGGAGGAGAGGGCAGAGGAAGGCCAGGCAGAGGAGGAGAGGGCAGTGAGTGGAACACAACAAGACAGGCAGTGCTGTCATCGGTGCGCAGTGCTGTCATCGGTGCGCAGTGCTGTCATCGGTGCGCAGTGCTGTCATCGGTGCGCAGTGCCGACTCACATCGCCATTGGCCACTGTCACGTACTCCTCCTCTTCAAAGTACTCCTGCCACCTCACAGGCTCAAACTTGCTTCTGCTGCTCTGCCCCTGCCCCTGCCCCAATCCGCTCCACGCCATCTCGCCCACCGCACCGCCCCCTGCGCCTCCCTCCTCCGCGCTCCCCCCGCCCCCCGCTCCCCCCTCCGCGTTCCCCCCATCCAGCCCGCCCCCCTCCAGCAGGTCGTCCTCGAGGATGCGCGCGACGGCCTCGTGCGGCGCGCGGCTGTGGCTGTCCGCCTTGGGCAGCCGCGGACTCGCCTCCGTGCCCTCCCCCTCCGCCTCCTCCGCCGGCCCCGCCTCCACCCGCTCCAACCGCACACCCCGCGCCTTCATTGCAAGCTGGCGGGGAGGAACAAGGGGACCGCGCATGCAGCGGGGAAGGAGCGCGGGGCGGGGCAGAGTAGACGGGCGGGTGGAGGCGCAACGTGAATGGGCGGTAGCGCGCCGCGCGCGCGGCAGTGGGCGCAAGAGACAAGGGCAGAGCGCGCGACGAGGGCAGCAGGAGAGTGCGTGTAAGGAGGTGGCGAGGAGCGGAGAGGAGGGCGGGTGGAGATAGGCAGTGGTACACGGGTAGAGGAAGGCAGTGGTACACGGGTAGAGGAAGGCAGTGGTACACGGGTAGAGGAAGGCAGTGGTACACGGGTAGAGGAAGGCAGTGGTACACGGGTAGAGGAAGGCAGTGGTACACGGGTAGAGGAAGGCGACAGTGAGTGGCGAATTCGCGCAGACATGGGAAGCGGGATTTTCGGAGGTGATTGAGGGAACAAAAGTACTGACCAAAGATATCAGGCGTTCGCGTTGGGAATAAGTAAAAGTATGTTGATCTTAAAACTCGCGATGTTAATACGGTATGTTGTAGCCGTTGACTATGCGACGCTTCTTGGTCAATGGATGAAGAACTGCGCTCTGCTCTGCATCCGCGCGATCGTCCAAGATGCGTTGTGTTGGCTGAGGTTGGCGATGCTCAATCTGCACGCTAAAACAAGCTTTCACTGTAGGTCGTCGTCAAACTTTCACATTACCCAGTACGGTCCAATGGTAGTACAAATTATATGTTGTATTACAAGTATCTACTAGTTGATACATGTGGATTCAAGGCATCACGCACACCACCTCAGAAGGCACGGGCTGTATCACCTTCAGCAGAAAGGAAAGTGAACAAAAGTTATTATGGGGAGGTATTGGCACCAAAAACACACCTAGTGTTCTACGCGCAAACACGCCAACTTCAAAAGCACGACAAAGTCGCCCAAGGCATCAACGCCCATGGTGCTACTATTACCAGCGCTCTAGGTGCATGCGTCGCTGGGTCAACTCCCATAAGCGTCACCAATGCGCCCAAGGCACCAGCACCTAAGGCGTGAGCACCCTAGGGCGAACGCGCTTAGCACCAATCACCAAGGTGTGCCCGAGAGGACAAAGTTGCAGGCACTTAAGACGCCAGCGCGATAGACGCCAGGGAGTCCGGCGATAGCGCGGCAGGCGCCAGCGTGACAAGCGCTAGCGTGCTAGTAGCCAGCGTGTTAATCGCCAGTGCGATAGGCACCAGCGCGACAGGCACCAGCCAGCAGGATAGGCGCCAGCGCGTTAGGCGCCAGCGCGATAGGCGCCAGCGCGTTACGCGCCAGCGCTCTAGGCGCCTGCGGGTTAGGCGAATGCGCGTTAGACGTCAGCGCTAGCCGCCAACGCGATAGGCGCCAGCGCGTTTGGCGCCACCACGCTAGGCGCTAGCGCGCTAAGCGCCAGCGCGCTAGGCGCCAGCGCGTTTAGCGCCAGCGCTTAAGGCGCCAGCGCGCTAAACGTCAGCGCGTTAGGTGCCAGCGAGCTAGGCGCCAGCGCGCTAGGCGCCAGTGCGCTAGGCGCCAGTGCGCTAGGCGCCAGTGCGCTAGGCGCCAGCGCGCTGGGCGCCAGTGCGCTAGGCGCCAGTGCGCTAGGCGCCAGCGCGATAGGCGCCAGCGCGATAGGCGCCAGCGCTCCTGCGTGCTCGCTCCCGTGCGCGCAAACCCCCCCACTCCCTCTCTCCCCTTCTTAAAATGGAGGCACAATGCTAAGAGGAGACTAATCGGCACAGAGAACTTACAAGGAAAGTGGAAAATATAGGACATTTCGGAGGGAGAATGAAACGCACCTGAGACAACCGTGCCTGCGAAAACAACGCGCGGTCGTGCAGCAACCCGCGCTCGTGCTCGTGCAACTACCAAAGGCGACGGCGGGAAGGACGGGAGAGGCGACGGTGGGGAGTGAGAGAAGCGACGGCGGGGAGTGAGGGAGAGGTGACGGCAGAGTGTTACTAAAAACGAGATTCCTGGTAGGGAATGGCGACGCGTTAGGGAAGGTATTTGGGGTGGGGAGAGAAGGGGAGATCAGAGTTGGAACCTGGGGGCCGCAGCTTTCAAGCTTAGGAAGGATGTTTGGGATTGAAAACGCGATTGGCCCCCGAACTGAGGAAGTGTCGAGTTGTATGACAAAGTTCGCGTACTTGCGCAGGTTCGCCAAAGTGACCCGACAACTAAATACGACATGATCACCCCCACACATCAATCGCACAAAGCCAGCGTACGACATCTCACAACCAACCCACGATCCCAGTTATGGGCAGCAGCCCAACCGAGATACGGCACTCCCCAGAAATATCCGAAATGTACCGCGCCCTAAGCAAGACAAAATGCTTGGAAATTCGAGCCGAATTCTTCTCGTGTTCAGAGTAGCGCACATAGCCGTTTTCGCGACCGCGACTCCTGTTCACTCTCGTGCGCGCGGAAGTTTAGACTCCATGGAAGAGCCGCGAGAGGCGCAGCCGGTGGGCGACGTGCCGGCGGACGCGAATCAGCGTGAGTAAGGAACTGAGTAAGGAACTGCGAGTAAGGAGCTGCGAGTAAGGAACTCCGAGTAAGAAACTGCGAATAAGCAGATGGTGGAGTGAGTAGTAAGAACCCGCGAGTACGGAACTGCATGTAAGCAGACGCGTCGAGTAGTAAGAATCCGCGAGTAAGCAACTACGTGTAAGCAGACGCGTCGAGTTGTAAGAATCCGCGAGTAAGCAACTACGTGTAAGCAGACGCGTCGAGTAGTAAGAATCCGCGAGTAAGCAACTACGTGTAAGCAGACGCAGGGCAGAGCCAGTGAGCAAGCACCTTTTCGCCCGATGTCCGCGGCGCCGCAAAGAATTGCCTAACTGATTCCGTTCAACGGAATCCGCACGCCTTGCTACCCACTGATGTTGCTCCTCTCCTTTTTCGTATCCCTTTCCTCTCGATCGCACCGTCGTTCGTTTCCTTACTCCTCCGTGCTTTCCCCTGCCTCCCTCTGCTTGTACCTGCGGTGGAAGAGCGAAAACAAGGCAGCGCCCTGCGCGGGCTGTCTAACTCCCTCCATCCCCTTCAACCCCAAACCACCCCCGCCTCCCCCCTCCCCTTCCCTTTCCGCAGACTGCCCAGGAACGGGAGCGGAGGAGGCAGGAAAGGCGGCGGCGTGTGCGGGGTGCCCCAACCAGCAGATCTGCGCCACGGCGCCCAAGGGGCCGGACCCAGGTACTCTGCTGGGCAGTGGTGGGGCTCGGCGAGGAGGCGTGGTTGGGTGCGGTTGGACGCGGCGGGGTGTGGTGGGGTGAGGCGTGTGGGATAGAAGGGTGTGGTGCTGCAGGGTGTCCCAACCAGCAGATCTGCGCCACGCCGCCAAAGGGGCCGGACCCAGGTGCGCTGCTAAGATGCGGTGGGGCAAATTGGATTACAGTTGGGTGCGGTTTGGTGCTGGGGAGTTGGTACAAGAATATTGGCGCTACCACGCCAAAGGGGGATCCAGGTGCGCTGCTGGGGTGTGGGTGGGATGCGGTTGGGAGCGGCGGGATGTGGTGGGGTGTGTGCTGCAGAGGTTGTGGTGCTGGGAGGTTGATACAAGCAGATCCGCGCCAGCCCAAGGGTGCATTGCTGGGACGCGGTTGAGCACGGTTGGGCGTGGTGGGACGTGGTAGGGCGTGTGGTGTTGAGTCGTGTGGCATAGGGGGGTGTAGTGCTGGGGGGTTGGTACCAGCAGATTTTCCCTGGCCCCCGGCGCACCCAAGGGGCCCGATTCAGGTGTGGTGGGGCGTGGCGTGGTGACGTTTGGTTGTGGGGCGTGTGATGGGTTGAGGAGTCATGTGTGAGATGCCTTGCGTCACAGGCAACAGCAGCGTGTAGGGGTGCTACTCTCCTTGAGGCCTCCAATCTTCTCCATCCGAGCCCGCCCTCACTCCCCATCCCTTCGCAGTCAATGCATCAACTTCTCGTTCTTCTCATGTTCCATCCCCTCTCCCCATTCCGTTTCTCCTTCTCTCCCACCTCGCTCTCCCCCTTTGTCGCTCGCAGACCTGGCGGCCATAGCGCAGCGGCTGCAGGCAGTGAAGCACGTCGTGCTGGTGCTGTCGGGGAAGGGCGGCGTGGGCAAGAGCACGTTCGCTGCACAGCTGGCATGGCACCTGGCGCATCAGGACAAGCAGGTCAGCTGGCATGGCAGCAGGTCGGTTGCCTGCTGCTCCCTCAGACTGGAGCCGTGGGGCGGGCGGAGGCATGTGGTGTGGCACAAAGGAAAGCTGTAGTGGACGAGCAGGTGGGGCCTCGAGTGCTACTCACTTCGTTTCTACTTGCCTCGTACGAGTAGCGAGGCGGGTGTGCCGCGCCTGGTGGGGCTGGAGGGGGAGGAGGTTCACTTCACTTCACCAGGGCGGAAGCGGGTTCAGGTTCTGCCTCTGCCACACCGCTCTGCCACACCGCTCTGCCACACCGCTCTGCCACACCGCTCTGTTCTGCCACACTGCTCTGCCACACCGCTCTGCCACACCGCTCTGCCACACCGCTCTGCCACACCGCTCTGCCACACCGCACTGTCTTGCCACTCCAACACCACCTCCCCTCTCCACCCGTTGCCCATCCTCACTTACTCCCCTCCTCCCCAACAACACCCACCCCCCCTCCCCAACAACACCCACCCCCCACAACTCCCCGCCCATCCACCCCCCCCACCCCACCCACACTCCACCCCCCTATTCCCCCCCCAGGTGGGTCTCCTAGACATTGACATCTGCGGCCCCAGCATCCCCCGGCTGATGGGGGTGGAGGGGGAGGAGATCCATGCGAGCGCCAGCGGGTGGTCGCCGGTGTATGTGGACGACCGCCTGGGCGTCATGTCCATCGCCTTCATGCTGCCGCACCCCGATGACGCCGTTGTCTGGCGCGGGCCGCGCAAGAACAGCCTCATCAAACAGGTGTGTGTAGGGTCTGGGGTTTACAGTCACTGCCTCCACAAGGGTATAGGGTCTGGGGCTTCACCACCTGCCGAGCCTTCCCAGCCTGCTGACCTTCCTTGAGTTGGTTACAACGCCGGCCCAGGGCCGGGTCGGGTGGGTGTGTGGCGAGCCGTGGTTTCAGATTCACTGCTCGTGTTGTCATGCCCTGCCATTGCTCCCTCCTTTCTGCATTTTCCCCCTCTCGTTTTCTCTTTGCTCCTGCCCCTCCTCACCTCCACCTCACCTCCCTCTCCCCATCCCCTTGCCGCCCGTGTGCCGCCCGCCAGTTCCTAAAGGACGTGGACTGGGGCGAGCTGGACTACCTCGTTGTCGACTCGCCGCCCGGCACATCAGATGAGCACATCTCAGCCGTCCAATTCCTCAAGGCAGCTCACGTGGACGGAGCGATCGTGCTCACCACCCCGCAGGTGAGATTCATTGACCCAGGTGAACCTCAGTGCAATCCCATCC